TCACAATGCTGGCTTTGCTTTGGGCATCACAGGCGTAGTTCCACATAGGGACCTGCCCAATGCCTGAACAAGGTGGTGGGAAAAATTGGCCGTGGATGATGCTCTCCTAAGAAGTGTCTGTCTCAGACAAAAGTGGATGGGATTTATCAACACAAGCCCAACTAAAAAAGATATGACATGTTTGTCTCCAGCTACTATGTCTATGGTAAGCCAAAGATTGCAACAAGAATAGTAAAAACTGTAAAGATTGACACGAGTGAGATTTATACAGCCAAAACTTTGCACAATGCTGTGAACATGTATGCTGAAAAACCTTGAATTACAAAAGGAGAGAAACAGAGTTAAACTGAGACGCATCCTCAGCTCTCTTCTGTGAAAAGAGGCATTGCTTGAGAATTCTGGGTGCTGGGCAAATTAAAACCAGCATTTCAGACCAAACGACAAGCTTCTTGGCTTTTCTGCATGTAAATCAGATCCTTACACTATCTCAGTGTCATTTTGTGGCTGAAAGCAATTCAGCAGCTATCAGCACAGTCAGACTGAAATTCAGCAGAACAGGATCTGAGCCCTTCAGCTCTTAATGATTAGATGTTTCTGTGGAAATGAATCTTATGAAAAAATGAAGTTCGGCAGAAAGTTGACAGCGTGTGGGGACCACAGAAGGGACAGGAACTTTACAACTCAGCCTTCACATTTTCCACCTATAGGATTTCAATATTTGCTAAAGTTGTAGTGAGGGCAGCTTCTTGACAGTGCTCCCTCTGGGAAATATCACATTCAGCAATTCCTGAATTACAGTTTCTAATTATATTTTCATACTGTAATGCTGTCTGAAATGCAAATTTGATGACAGAATAATTCGATCCATATAAAATAATTACAAAATTACTGTTTCTCAAACCTCAACTCATACTCCCTGCTATTTAAGAAGATAAATTTAACAGCAGCAAAAGTACAGCCAAAACATAGTCTATTTTTTAAACTGTTATCTGACTATAACTGTCTACTTAGATTTTGGCTCACATGGAAGATTATTTCTAAAATATGACTACCAAAAACATTCCAGAGTTAGGGTTTTTGTTCCTTTCGCTTGGAACCTACAGCCAGGTCAACTTTTATTTTGCATTCAGATTACCCTATGCATGGCATCTGTGTTTAATTGGAAAAGCAACTGTTGGTTAAAATGCCAAATCTCTACTGCTGCTCAGCTGTCATTTAAACTAGTTGTTGCTAATGTTGATGCATTAAATTATCACAATGTAATGATTTGTAGCAGAGTGGGAACCAACTTAAGCAATTGTAACCAACCAATAAGTAATTTAAGATCCTAAAATTCCATACAGAAACATCACTTCCCACTGTCTGACAATTCCCCCCATCCAGAGGATTTTATTCCCCCGACGAATATTGCCTAGATAGAGGCTAGAACCTTTAAAAAGACAGCAGAAGTCAAATTCTGTTTGAAAAAATTCAAAAACCTGCGTTGCAAGGTTTTTTTAGGTTTTACTATGATTCTAGCCTAAATTTAGATTGTCATTGCCCATCAACCAGATAAAGGCAGAGCATACTAAAGGCTTGAGTGTGTTATTATTATGAGGTGAGAGGCATAAACAGCTCCCATTTGTTTTTAATTTCCCTGCTGTATCCAGTTGTGTGAGAAGAGACATGAGGAGATCTCAGTCCTGCTGTTTTTGCCATGGTATCTCCTAAGGTGAAGTGCCCGAATTCCTCAGGAATTGCTGGTCTGCTCACCCTTCGCCATGGACAGGGAGACTGTTGGAAGAGATCATCCCTTCTTGTGTGCATGCAAACAGGGTGACATTTGCAAATGACATAAAGGACAATGGGAAGCATGAGGGTCAATCTAGCCTCCCTGGAAGAAGGTGGAGTGTCGCCAAGCCCATGTGCATCTCATGTTTTTTCTCCTTATGCCAGAGGATTTCAAGTCTGAGCAATCTGGCAGTGGCACAGTTGTGGTGTTGGGCAGAAGGTAAGGGATGGGCTGCAGCCACTTTCCCCTCTCTCGGTGGTTGCAAGGAACCTACAGTCTGTTTGTTCTTTTCTCATGGTGAGTGAAACCATGGCAAGGCACAGACGGCAGGATGCTTAGCATTACATTGCCTGGCAACTTTACACACTGCCAAGGCAAAATCCCAGTCCTTGTCAAAAGGGTTCGGTACAAAAGTTTTCACTGACCAGCAGAAACAAGAGCATGAAATCATTGAGCAGAGGCATGCAGCTCCAGGATGACTCTCACAGACCCTTCCCTGCCCTTCTCCTGAGCAGAGACCTGTGCCTTCTCCAGTTGCAGACTGGTGCTGTCTGTGAGCTGCCTGCCTGCCTGCCTGCAGCTCATCCATCCCCATCTCCTGGACTGACAGGATGCCAAAGACCCCAAAGACTTGTCAAGAGGGGACAGAGCTGTCGCTCTGTGTGTGCGTGAATAAAAGGGTAAAAGTCTGTGTTACAGCAATGCTGCTCCCTTGGCATATTTCAGATAATTTTTCAGGAAGCTCCTGATCCTTTTCTCTGTAAACACCATATAGTCAAGAGTGCCGGGTGCCCCAGGAGAGGGGCAGAAAGCCCGGGGAGTACATGGGGTGCAACAACTCCATGTGCACTGTAGGACGCATCCCTGCGCAACCTCACTGGCACTCACCAGCTTCCCCTGTAATATTGTCTCTCAGAACTCTGCCACAACATGTCTGGGACCCTTCTGCTACAACGTGAAGCAGTCCATCATCCTCATCTGTCAGGTCAAGTTAGAATCTTTTGAAGACTTGCTCAGTATCACTAAAGCAAGATATGTCCATTCCATCTGGAGATGAGGAACCTATTTTAAAAATATTTCTAATTAATAGCTCTTGAGCAAAAGTTGCATCAATTATTTTTCCCCTTGCAGGTGTTTTCAAAGCATCAAATGCTACAGGACACTGTATTCAAGCCTAAATGAATGAGGATAAGCCCCAGCACACCCCCAGCATCATTGCCACACTGATGACTCAAGTCAAGCCTGGCAGGAGACTGCAGCTATACATGGAGGCAAATCCTTCAGGCATGAGAGTGAATGGCTTCTCTTGAATGGCAGGTGCTGCTCAGCTCAAATCTGTCCCCATACTCCATGCCCCAGTCCCTCACTAGACTTGTCCTGCCAGTATAAGGTTGTGAACAAGCAGATCTCAGAGGGTGGTGGGTCACATTGACTGCCTCTCCCTGCCCTCCCCATCCACCCTGCCGCCCAGAATCTGGGGGAACTCACATGCAGGTGGAGGGGTCGGACTGCTGTCAGCTGAAACATAGCTCCCTGTGCCAGCTGAGGAGAAGCCATGCCCAGCTCAGCCCAGGCGGGTCACCTGGGCAAGGACACCGAGAGCCCCACTCCCTAAGAGAAGGCTGTACTTGGGGTGCTATAGCACCTCCACACTAAAGCTGTGAGGCTCCTGTAAACCTTGGTTAAAGTCACACATGAGGAGTCAGTGCAGCGGCATCAGGTGAATAATTTAATAAAGAAAATGTTTAATATCGCAGCCCCCCAAAACAGTGATGTTTTAGGCACAAGAGTTGAACTGGAAAGAACTGATGAGATAACGCCAAGTGAAATGATTTAAAGGTTTCAGATGCATTTATACTCGTTGCTCTGCTAAGAATGTCAAATGCAGTGAAATCCAGAGCATTAAGCCATAACTTTCCTTAGAAAGTGCCTCCAGGTTTAATGTCTGTCTTGGCTGCCTTTCTGAAAAAATTATTTATGCTTCATTTGATAACATTAGTATAATTTAATAGAATTTTTTTATCTTTTTCTGCTCTGTGTTTTAAATTGTTTTGTAGTTCCATGATCGTTTCAGACAGGCAGCTGCTTTGGAGAATCATTACCATTATCAATAAACCCTTTGAACTTTGGGAGGAAGGGAACAAGAGTATATAATTAGAGAAGATAAGAACGATCTAACATACTTTTCCAGGAAACAACGCACATGATGCTTCAGCTGTAATCTGTTCTTAAAATGAATCTATATGTTCCCCCCCAAACTCAGCCCATGGCACTAAACTTTAGGAGCTCTGGGATCTCCTTCCCCACAAGAGCCACCTCGAAGTAAGTGCAGTACAGAAACAGACCTGAACTCCCTCGTTTTTACAAAAAGACACAAATAGCATTTCATTTTTCAATCACCACAGTGATTGAAAAATCATGCTGCTCATGCTGCGGTTCTTTTTTTTTTAGCTATTCTAACTGGTCTCAATGCACAACAGAAAAAAAAAAAAGGGAAAAAACAAGCCTTGTGTGTGCGCGTGAGAAAAAGGGCAAAAGCCTGTGTAAGGGCAATGCTGCTCTCTTGGCATATTTCAGATAATTTTTCAGGAAGCTCCTGATCCCTTCCTCTGTAAACACTACACAGTCAAGAGTGCCGCGTGCCCCAGGAGAGGGGCAGAAAGCCCGGGGAGCGCGCAGGGAGCAGGGACTCCGTGTGAACAAAGATGATTTAAATGCTGGAACTTTGAGACTTGGATTTTACGCTGTTCCTGGCTGCATTGACTGCTGGCTTTCCTCTCACTGAATACACTGGGTACAAACCAGCCTGAATTGGGCAGCATTAAAAAACTACAAGTTCCAACAGAGGTATAAAAAAAGCTGTAGGGATGCCCAAATCAACATAATACCTAGATATCATTTCTTTTAACTCCCGAACGCATTAGCCTAGGATTACTCGTGTTCATTTATATTCTTAAAGTGTCAAATGAGAACAATATCATTTTATTCTCCTTTCATGGATCATTAATCTAAATTTAACTCCATTTTGCAGTCTGCACACAAAATTAGTAACTGGAAGCTGCTTTGCATTTATCTGATAGTGCTGGGCTTGTTCATCAAGGCAAACTTCCAGCCAAAACAAACAAGGGAAAAAAATATCAGTCACGATAAGCTGCTTTCTATTCTTTTTTTTTTTTTTTAAAGGAAAAAAAAAATCCAAACCTGATGAGAACGTAAAGCAAATGGTTACCTCACACTGCAGAAATGCAAGTTTTTAATAGTCCATGCTCTGGCAGCCCCTGAGAATCAGCAGCGGCGGCAGCGGTGGCGGCGGCGGGGATGAATCCAGCATCCACCGGGTTCTCACAAGCCTTTGACTGCGCGGCCGGGACCACAGGCTCAGCCTCCAGCTGACGTCAAGGCGGCCGTCACATGGCCAGGCGCAGGCCCAGGGAGCACTGGTTGTCCTGGCAACCTCAGCACTGCTCCGAAATTATTTCAATAGGTCATCTGTCATACTGCGCGCACATTGGAGCCATCACGGGCGCCCGGACAACCCAAACACCACAGCCTTGCTGGAGCTGGCTGCGCCGGGGGCTGGTCCCATCCCAGACGCTCTCTTAACCCTGTCCCTGTAAGAAAACGCTTCTCTCTTGCTCTTCCTCCTGCGTCTCGAACCTCCAGCAGAAAACAAAACATTATACACCTGGTTTGCCCAAGCAAAGGGGCACAAGCGCCACCCTTCAAGTGTGCTGGGGCACCTCAGTGACATGCAGCTCAACACTGTGCTGGGCTAGCTAAAATTAGGGTCTTTCTAAATGACACACAGCTGAAGTTTTATTCATAGCCACAGAGACACATTCTTGGTCACCAGCATCTCTGCCCAGATTTGGGGCGAGGCAGCAGTGGTCCTTGCTGAAGTGATGTGGAGCAGGAGCCATGCAGGGCTGTGGGGCAGACCCCAGAGCTGCCTGGCCAGCTTGGCCTCATATCCCTGAGCCTCAGCATCTGGTCCCTCTGCTAGCCTGCCCATGATGCCTCTCCAGCTGTTCCTAGTAAAATATTCCAGTAAGAGGGACAAAGCACTGTCTGTTTTCACCTAGTTCTGATCAACCTCTGAAGCTTTATTCTACAGGAAGAGACATCACGCCAGTGTCTCTGATTTCCTTGTAACTCTAGCTAAAATCCACTCCTTCCTCCAAATTTCCTTTTTTTTCTCTCTGCACTTCACCTTACCAGAGTCCCACAATACGTGCATGCACCGGGGGCAGGACACGGAATATGCTGGAGAAGGGAAAGACTTTAATCTGCAAGAAGCAGGGAGGAAAGACGAATTGTCAGCAACAAGAAAATATTCCTGTGCTCATCTGAGTCAGTGATGGTTACTGACTAGTTCCCAGGATATGAAATACCAGGAACCAACCTCTGTAGATGTCTCTGGTGAAGGTGGAAGCAGATGTAAAGCTGCAGGGGATCTGCAAATGCCAACAACTGGGACATCCTCAGCCAAAATTGGCTTTAGCCCCTTTGCAAGAAGGGAAGAGAAAATATTAGAAATTAAAAGATAACCTGAGGTGGGGCATAAAGGAGTTCTGGGGAGGCCTTCTCCCCATCCAAGGCAGCAGGAGGATGGAGGTTACATGGGACTGGTGGGCGGTGGGAAGACCACTGAGCCCCCTTGCCTTGCTCTGCATCTCTCTCCTGAATGTGAGAGCAGCAGGTGTTTGGGATATTTAGCATCATATCTGGATGAGTGGATGCTGAGGTGGATTCAGAACTGTCTGAACAGTGGAGCTCAGATGGTTGTGATCAGTGGCACAGGGTCTAGTTGGAGTCCTGTAGCTCATGGTGTTCCTCATGGGTTGATACTGAGTCCAGTATTATCTAACTTCTTCATCAATGACTTGGATAAAGGGACAGATGCCTTGTCAGCAAGTGTGCTGATGATACAAAACTGAGTGGCTGATACCCCAGAGTGCCATGCTGTCATTTAGAAGGACCTTGACACGTTGGAGAGATGGGCAGAGCTGAATCTTATGAAATTCAACAAAAGCAAGTGCAGGGTCCTGTACCTGGGGAGGAATAACCCCCTTCACCAGTACAAGCTGAGCTGACCTGCAGGAAAGCAGCTCTGCAAAGAAGGACCTGGGGGTCCTGGTGGGCAACAAGCTGTTTATAAGCCAGCACAGTGTCCTTGTGGCCAAGAAGGCCAAGGGTATCCTGGGGTGATCCTGCTCCTCTACTCAGTTCTAATGAGACCACATCTGGAATGTTGTGTCCAGTTCTGGGCTCCACAGAGCAAAAGACATGTGGAGCTCCTGGAGCAGGTCCAGCGAAGGGATACAAAGATGGTGAGGGGACTGGAGCACCTCAGTTATGAGGAAAGGTTGAGAGAACTGCACCTGTTTAGCCTGGTGAAGGGAAATCTGAGTGGGCAGACACTCAGTGTATACAACTATTTGAAGGGAGAGTGAAGGATGGAGCCAGGCTCTTCTTGGTGCTGAACAGTGGGATGAGGGGCAATGGGCAGAAAGTGATATACAGGAAATTCCAACTGAACATGAGGAAAAATTTCTTTACTGTGAGGATGACAGAACTGTAACAGACTGCCCAGAGAGGTTATGGAGTGTCCTTCTCTGGCGGTGCTCAAAAGCCTTCTGGACATAATCCCAAGTAATGTGCTCTGGGGTACCCTGCTTGAGCAGTGAGGTTGACTAGATGATCTTCAGTGGTCTCTTCCAACCTTACCCATTCTGTGACTCTGTGATCAACAACGGCCAGTGCTGATTTATGCAACCTTTAGTGGGAAAGGCACCTCTATCCAGCACAACTTATAAACTACCTCTTCTGCACTGGTGCTGCACTGGGGCTTTCCAGGGCAGTTGGTATGAGGGGGCAAAGCCTGCTGAGATCCTGAGCTGCCCCCAGGTCTCAGTGCAAAGCAGTGATGAGGGCTTGAAAAGTTATTACAATAGAATAAGGCAGCCCCCACTGTCTAAAATTCATGCCTTAAAAAGAAAATATTCACAATTACTACAAAACCAGTGGCTGTTTAACAGAACAAGAATAATGCAATGAATTTTAAAACCCCCACTGATTACTACATGTGTTGCACATAATCCCACATATTAATCCAATATAGAAGGCTGAAACTTCATGTCAACACCCACCAATAAAATTGTATCATAACATACAGATGTATTTTTTCACTTAATGGCAATGTTTGTACAATACTGCATAAAGTTTGGGTTTGCAGTTTAAAAATATATGCCTCTACACTACTAGTGCATTCCTTTCTGTTGGTCTGACAAAAATATGTGCACCTGGGGGAGATTTTAATGTTTCTGATTCTTATAAAAGCCCTTTCATAAAAGTGGACACTACAACACATGCATTGTAATGGTCACAAAACATTTCAAAAGCCGTTTTGCTGATGCCCTAAAGGGCGGGCAGAGATGGCCAGGCAGGGTCATAGAACCATAGAATGGTTCAGGTTGGAAGGCACCTTAAAGATCATCTACTTCCGACCCCCCTACCATAAGCAGGGACACCTTCTGCTAGACCAGGTTGCTCAAAGTTCCATCCAGCCTAGCCTTGAACAGTTCCAGGGATGGTGCTTCCACAACTTCTCTGGGCAACCTGTTTCAGTATCTCACCATAAATAATTTCTTCCTAATAGCTAATCTAAAGCTGTCCTCCTTCAGTTTAAAGCCATACCCCTTGTTCTGTCACCACATGCCCTTGTCGAAAGTCCCTCTCCATCCTTCTTGTAGCCCCCTCCAGGTACTGGAAGGCTGCTCTAAGGTCTTTCCAGAGCCTTCTCATCTCCAGGCTGAACAACTCCAATTCTCTCAACTCCTTGGGGACCTACGTCTGCTCTGCTCCCATGTAAGTCTGATCTCCACACCTGCAGACATGGGTATGGAGAGCATCTTCATCCTCCGGCATAAAAGTAACCCTTGCACTCACCCTTACAGTATATTTCTGGTACTGGACAAGAACTTGAAGGAATTTTTAAACCATCCATGGTGTTTATAAAGGCATACTAATTATATCTTGAGAAGGTTATAATTTTCAGCCAGTTGAAAGATGCTAATTGAAAAAAAAAAAAAAAGACCAGTGCTCTGAAGAACATATGATAATGGCAGTGTAAATTTGGACAGTCCCAGTTCTCAGGGCTTGGCAGAGGTTTCCCTGCACTTCCACAATGATGGAGGCTGGGGATGGCTCCTCCACAGGGAGATTTTCTGAATTTCTGACTGAAATCCCTACTTATTCCCAGCACTTGCTGTAACATTCAAATCTTGGAAGGACTAGGGTCAAGGGAAACGTTATACAATGCAGACAGATGCAGAAATGAAAGCAATGGCATCTGTCCATCAGAGAGCCAAAGTATCCTGCTAGAAGTGACAGAAAAACCTATATTCCCTGAATGAGCTTAACTTTTCTATGGTAAAACCCTCAACATAAAAACAGTTTCCTCTGTCGTTTCAATCAACTGAATGAGCTCACAGCAATGAAATATGGGCACTGACTGGAAATATACAAAAAAGATATTTTATGTGGAGAAGGACTTGGAAGTGATGGTTGATGAAAGACTCAACATGAGCTGGCAGTGTGCACTCACAGCCCAGAAAGTGTCAGCTGTGTCCTGGGCTGCATCAAAAGGAGCTTGGACAGCAGGTTGAGGGAGGTAATTCTCTCTCTTTACTCTGCTCTTGTGAGGCTCCCACCTGGAGTACTGCATGCAGTTCTGGGATCCTCAACATAGGGAGGACATGGAACTGTTGGAGCAAGTCCAAAGGAAGGCCACGAACTTGATAAGAGCACTGGAGCATCCGAAGACAGGCTGAGAAAGTTAGGGCTGTTCAGCATGGAGAAGAGAAGGTTATGTGGAGACCTCATAGCAACCTTCCTGTATCTAAAGGGGGTCTACAAAGAAACTGGAGAGGGACTCTTCGTCAGGAATTGTGGTGATAGGATAAGGAGTAATGGGTACAAACTGGGCTGGATATTAGGAAGAAATTTTTACTGTGAGGGTGGTGAGACACTGAACAGGTTTTCCAGGGATGTTGTGGATGCCCCAAACCTGGTGGTGTTCAAGTCAGGTTGGATGGGGCTTTGAGCAACCTGGTCTAGTGGGAGGTGTCCCTGCCCATGGCAAGGGCAGGTTGAGACTAGATGATCTTTAGGGTCCCTTTCAACCCTTAATATCCTATAATTTAAAAGCCGAAGCCTGATGAGAAACAAATGTGTTCCATCCATCTGGTACCATGACACAAAGGCACTCTCCTCCTGCTACAAGAACATGATGCCTCATGGGGAAAGGTTTCTGACCTGCATTTGGGACCACCTCCATTCCTCCCACCCCTCCAAGTCTGGGGCCCATGG